CCTTTAGGGGACATGCATAATACCAGGATGTGTGGCCTTTAGGGGACATGCATAATACCAGGATGTGTGGCCTTTAGGGGACATGCATAATTAAGCCTTATTTCATAATTTTCGTACACACACCTGTTTATAGTCTGGTTGACTTGAATTAGCCCAGTGACTTCATCAATCTTGAAGTATTCACTACCTGCACCAGAAAGTGAATAACGGATCTCAGCATTGATGCCTTCATCATCATCGCTGGCTGTTACGATAAGCACTATCATACCCTCTCTACTTCCATCCCATACAGCTGTGGTGTAAGCATCTTTGTAGAACATGGGATTGTTGTCATTGACATCATCAATGTCAATCCTTACTGGAACTGAAGCACTCAGGTTTCCACCGTCTATGGCAATGACGCTAAAATTGTACTGTGATATGTCTTCTCTATCTAAGCCAGCACCTAAAGTGTCTACGTATATATCTCCAGTAGTTGCATTGATGTTGAACGGGACATCATCATCTGATTTTAAGAATATTGTAAAAAAAAACATTAGTTTGAATTGTCTTATATATTAACCTTTTCATCACCAGTTCCCATTTTTCATCACAAACTCACAAGATACATGTAGTCCTATTTATAGTTTGCACTTTCCTTCAGAAGTTTGGGACAAAAATAGCCAAATGTTTTGAGTAAAAACTGAAAATTAACTAAAATTTTGCATGTTGGCTCCAAAATTAGGCTTCATTTCTAGAAATATTGAAAAATATAAGAAAAAAATGCAGAAAAAATTTGGCCAAAACATTCTGGTGGTGAAAAGGGTAAATTTATGCCATTAATCCTGAAAAAACAAAATGGTAAATAATCTTAAATATTATATTATATTTTATTATTTTGAAACAAAAAAAATAATATTTCCATGACGAGTGCAAACATTAAGTGAAATAAATTATGATTTTATGGATATAGAATTCTTTGAAAGCATTGCTATATAATATTTTGAAAAGGATCATTAAAGTTTGCATACCTGGGCTAATAATGTATGTCAGTTCACCATAGTCTTCTATAGTATTGTAGTCTTCTGCATCAACAGTCATCACGTAATCGCCATCATCAGCATCTTCAGAAACATTGCCTCGATAAAAAGGTCTAGTGAAGTAAGGTGGTACATTGTAATAATCACCAATTTCAATAGTAACAATTGTATAATCCTCCAAGTTCTGGTCTCTTCCAGAGTTGTACGCTAAGACAGTTATATTGTAGGTGTATCTACCAGTGATGTTTCCCAACAAACTGT